CAAATATTGATATATGAGATTGTCTGTATGCCACTTTCTTGCCAAACCATGAATATTTATATATATATATATATATATATATACAATTGACAATACCCTGTATTGGCTCTGTGTAGTGATGCTAAATATCACATTATTAATAATTAACATTACAAATAATTTAATTACTTTGGCTGTAAGATTAAATGACAATGTTGATTTTAACTTGTAACCAACAATCTTTCATTATTGATTAACATTAATCTATATAGATTGAGTGATTAATTAACTGATTAATGGGGTCGATCACTGAGTTTACAGAGCTCATGGTAATGAATTGTTTTGTCTGACCGACTAAATAAATTCAGTTTTTTATTACAAAAGAAAAAAAGAAAATATTCACCTTCCAGAAGCTGGAGCAAGGAAATTTCAGCTTAATGTCTTATAAGATTACTGTATTATCAAATTTTAGCCAACATGTAAGACTAAAAGGAAAATGCACTGTCAAACAAAAAATCTTCACTGATTATCTGCAGTGAAGTTAGTCTCTACAAACACAAACTGTCTCACTAAGCTGGTGGAATACGTCATGAGACGTAATATTTAAGGACAGATCGATTTTTCGGTGCCCCTGATGAGTTGTGTGTTGTGGCTGACGTTACCTGCAGAGGGTCCCGCGGACCGGCTGGGTGTACAGGAACGTGAAGAAACCAGAGAGCGTATCAGACCACATGTACCGCATGGCCATGATGTCTCTGACCATCACTGACCCCACAGTGGACAAGGACAGGTACTCCACTCACACAGATAGAAGCAACTTTTCCCAAAAATGAAAGTTACTGTCTAGTATCTACTGACAACGGACACTAATTACTTTCAGTAGACGTTAATTTGATGACCGAACAGCTGTTGTTTCATTTCAAAGATTTCAACTTTGCTTATGCAGCATGGTCCAATTACTTTGTTGCTTTAGCATGCTCATACATTTTTTCTCCTCACTTCTTTTAGATGCATAAAGCTGGCCCTGGTTCATGACATGGCAGAGTGCATTGTGGGAGATATCGCTCCATCAGACAACATCAGTAAAGCAGAGAAACACAGGCGAGAAGAGGCAAGTGACCACGGTCGCTCACATCAGATCCAAACACAAGAGTCTCTTCCTGATACGTCCTGTTTTACTATTAATGTATTATTCTAGATTCTAGTATTTCTGTTTATTTTGATGATAATGATGATGATGATGATGATGATGATGATGAATTATACTTCTCCTCACTTCTCTCTCAGGAAGCGATGACACACCTGGCAGGTCTTCTGCCTGGTGGACTCAAACAGGAGATTTATGGACTGTGGGAGGTATGACCCTGTGGTTTGTAGCTGAACAATAATAATAATTGAACTAATTGAAGAGCAGACACACATTTGTCTCATCTACAGGAATATGAGACCCAGAGCAGTCCAGAGGCCAGGTTGGTGAAACAGTTTGACCTCCTGGAGATGATCCTGCAGGCTCATGAGTACGAGGAGCTGGAGGGAACGCCGGGAAGACTGCAGGAGTTCTTTGACTCCACCAACGGTACGTCTCCAGTGTGTCACTGTCCTCTTCTGCATTTCATGTCTGTTCCTCTCCACTTCACTGGATCTCATCACTTAAAGGTCCAGTGTGTAACATTAAGGAGGATCTATTGACAGAAATAGAATATAATATTCATAGATTTTATTAGCGTATAATCACCTGAAAGGAATCGTTTTTTTGTTACCTCAGAATGAGAGGTTTTTATCCACAGCCGCTGTGGTCCGCCTTCCATGGAGAGCGCCATGATGAGCCGTCATGTTTCTACAGTAGCCCACAATGGACAAACCAAACACTCACTCTGGACTGGGCCTTTCGCGTTTTTTGCTCGTTTCGTGGCCCCCGTAGTTTCTCCTATACGCTTGGAAGGCTGAGCTGTTTTCATTGGGTTGCAATCTGAAACTTCACCAATAGATGCCACAACATTTTACACGGTCCTTTAAGTCGCTCATACTTTGACGTCACGTTTCCTTTGTTTTATTCGGTGTATACATATACTATAGCAACTAAAGTAGCTTCTTATTATATTTGAAGCAACAGACCAACAGTAAATAATCCAGAGTTGTGCCTCTAATTCAAAATGAAAAGCCAGCACATATTACTATTAATGTTTGGTGTCATTTTAGGCTTCGAGTCATTCAAAAACTAAATTTGACATGTGCGGAGTTTTAGGAAGTATGTGTGTTATTTTTATTATCTTTTTCTGTGTCTAGCATGAAGGAACTGCAAACGTTAATTTCGTTATACCACCTTGTGTTGTACAATGATAAATAAATGTCCTTTATTCCTTGATGGTTAACAGACCAAAGAGACAAATGCACATTTGTATTTCACTGATATCACTGATCAGTTGCTGTTACTTACTTTGTTTTTTCTCAGGTCGTTTCCACCACCCAGACGTGCTCCAGCTCATCAGCTCTTTGAATGAAGAGAGAGGATGTCACATGACTAAAACGGATGAAACAAAGAATTCTGGGAACTCGCAGGCGGCTGGTGCAACGTCTTCACAGCCAAGTACGACTTCACACACCTCCTCCTGACTGCAACGCACACAATACCTCCTCAGTGGAGAGACAGAGACGCTGGACTGTAACACAGAATATGTGTATGAGGATGCACAAACACGTCACAGGATCAGAAGCTAGTGTGGAAAACTGTAGATTGGGAGTTTCAACTTCTCCTCATTTGCTACAGTGTAACTGAGGACAAGGACACATGGGTATCTGCAGCTATTTGATCCCTTTGTCTTCTGTGTTTTACCTCAATGTCTCTAGTACAGTATGAGGAACTATAATAGATACATTCTGACAATTAAACACTGCCAGATAATATACAAATGCAATAATTTGTCAAAATAAATGGGTTGAAAATGTAATAAAAAACGGTATAATTTCCCAGATAATGTTCTCACATTATTACATTAGTTCCTGTTTATTCATGTATAGAAACTATTCAACTAGTTTCTATTACATTTTGACACGTTATTATATATTTGTATATTATCTGGCAGATGTTACATCATAGGGCTGTCTATAAAAATATAACAATGGTGCTGCCGTCAGTAAATAGTGTTAATGCATTTTCTGATGCAGTCTTATTGTACAATATACAGATTTTGTGAAATAGGTTATAGAAATACTGCTGGCAAATGAGCACTAAATTATTTTCAGTATGTTGCATAGACGTCAGTTGCACATTATTCCACCTTTACTACTTTATGTTTGGTTGTTTTATCTGTTTATTCAACAAGTTCAGTCACAGCTTTCAGTGTTTATTGTAAAAACAGTCAATTGTTATATTTAGTTTGGTTTAGACGAGTTTTAATATCGATACATCAACCATAAAAACTGTTATTTATAATGACGTGTAATTAGTTGTATGAATACAGATGAATACGTTAAACACAATGTTATTTTTTTTTCAGTGTCACAGTTATGCCTTCTGGTGTGTTTTTTGTAAAAAGGTCTTTTCATTTCAGTTCATTTGTATTTCAACCCAACACAATATACACATGTAAAATATATACTGTAATTTATTTTCCAATGACAGTCATCAGTTCAGTTATTTGGTAAAAGATCAGTGCTGGCAACTTTTTCTTGTTACAAAAGATCTTTCAGTACACGATTCATGACATGAATTTTAATAAATACATTTCATGAACAGACTGAACTGAACATGAAATGACCCAGGGCATCTTCTCAAACCACAGCAAAGAAAATAAAATCACATGAAAGACAATAAGAAAAAAACAAACACAAAACAGATTATATATTAAAAACACAACATTACTTTGATGGCAAAGTTATGCAGTGGACACAGAGACCGTTCTTGAAAAGTTAAAAAGAAAACAGATTTTTAATGTTTTGTGGCACCAACCTTTTTATAGATAAGTAATAAAAACTAAGTCCATTCTTTATTTCCGCATTTAACAGGGCTAGTTCTGCAAAAGGAAGCTAAAAATCAGATCAGTAAGTAACAGCATGTCTTGGATTTCAGGGTCACATTACAGTCCAGGGTGGTTTTACAGCTACTGCTACAGTCTGATGTTATATTAATGTTAGATATTCCGTATCAGTTACACAGCATTAGGCATCAGATCTCCTATCTAAAATAACTCAGACATTAAGTTTTTAGGGGAGGTGATGTGGATAAATGGTAAACTTTTACGTTATCTGGACCTCCACAGGTTAAAATCTTTTTACCTTCAGCACTTTCAGAGGTACAACCGTGCAGCTCTGGCATTTTTTATTTATTTTTTAATCTCCAGCATCAGATTTAATTGTCCAAAGTGATAAATAAGATTCTGTTTGACTTCCTGTTTCTTGGCAGTCAAGAGAAAACAAAAATAAACTCCATTATTACATTTACACATGGAAACCTGCACTGCACATGGCAAATACATTGTTTCATGTATTCCTATAGACTAGTTAGTCCCATAGTGTAAATGCACTGAATAAGTGAGAGTATGATCCAGCATTCAAATAGGCCCCAACCCAAACTGTCCGCAGCAACGTGTGTGTTTAACAATCGGCCATAACAAAATCGTATGTCTAAGTGTAAAATAATTTATACTTCTTGGGTTATATACAGTCTTTTTAAAACATTTTGGTAAAAAGTCCTAGGTAGTTGAAATAAAACATAAAGTGCTTTTTTAAATTTTTTTAAAAATCAAACAGATATATTTCTAATAATAACCAAAGGATGTACTTTTGTATTTTTTGGTATGAAAGTAGTCATAGTGGTGTAGACTTTGGATACTGCACCAACATGGCTGTTTCTACTTATGTTGAATTTACATAACAAAGAAGGAATTCATAACCTCTCATTTTGTGTGTGAGGACTTCCAGCTGGGATTTGACAGCTGAGTTTTTCCACTCGTGACGAAGTAACTACATGAGCCAAACCATGAGACGCTCTACTTACAGTAAGTGACAGAAAGAAAATACAGGCCAGAAATACAAAGCTTTGGTTCTTGGATTCTGCTCATCCTCCTTTCATTTCTTACAAAAGACTTCACTGCTTCTCCCCTTCAACCCCATCTGATCCAGCATCTGTGGTTTAACATGGTTTGGAGGCCACTGGAGGGCAGGTTGGTTAAATCCAACTCACTGAAGGAGAGTCCTTCAACAAAAAGATCAACCATGTCCACTTATAGGTGTTACTAAATCAAAGGTAGCTTTCTTGATCCTTCAAAATAAAAGTAGACATCTGCTGCTTTAGAATATTTAGAGTAAATCTAGTCCAAACAAGAAATGGTGCCAATTTTCTTTCTAAGCATTTAGGGTTGCAGGAAATTCCAATTGTTAAGAGACTTACTCACATATATGGGATTTTTGCATCAGATAAAAGCATTCTGTAACATTTCAGTCAGAGCCTTGAGTAAGATAAGTACTGCCATACAGCAGTGATCAGAGTTCCTGGTTGAAGATCTGCCTCGTGGTGCGGATGCAGCTCTAACACGGCCTCTCAGAGCTGTCCGTCAAGGTGTTAGTGGGAGTGTCCTGAGAGCTGGCGTTCGCTGCGGAGGAGAGGACTTCCTCAAAGCTGCCTCCGGTCTCCGAAGCGCCAACCTTTGTCTATGAAACATGCAGGAAAAATAAAATAGGCTGTCATCTCTGAATCATTACTTGCATCTTTGCTGCACTGCTGTAGAACAGACTCAAGGTGGCAGACTTTTACAAAGACTTTCACTCTCAGACACAGCCAGTGAGCAAATAAGAGGATGAGATCAATGTTTTAATTTTTTTAAATACGAAACCAAAGCTGAAATGTAAACTACTAATTGAAACTGCTTTTGTTTGAACACTGCAGTGTTTTTGAGAGCAAGTCACAAAACAGCAGAGAATCTAACTTCTCTGTACACACTTAAATTAGACAGTGGTCTTTGCACTGGCTATCGCAGAAGTACAGACAAAGGATGGAGGTCTGCTGCTGCCAAGGCTGCATCAGGATCAGTGTGAATATAAATAACCAACAGGCTGTAAGAGTCAGAGTGTAAGCTAGCAATTACACCCAGATTATAGCTCTGTTCTCTCTGCTTCACTCCCATTTTATAACACTCAGAGACGGTTTCTCTGTGTGGCTTTCACTGCTTACTACTAAACAAAGCAGTGTTTGCATGTTATCCATTAGGTGTGACTGTCAATATTTAATCAATAGCAAATAGTCACATGCCCTGCGGTTATATACATTCATTCAACCTTTATTTATAGTCGAGAGATCAGTTGAGGGACGACCCTCATTTACAATGACATTGAGTCAATTTACAAAGATAGAGAAAAGCAAAACAACAAAGTATAGTAACCATGCTTTCAAAATAATCTATTATGACATTTTAACGCCTTGAAATAAGTCATACAAACCCTCTATCACACACACAAACACACACTGTTTACCTTGATAGTGGACACTGTATTCTCAACTTTCTCCTCAAAAGACCTGAAGCTGGGAGAGTTTCTGTAAAAAGCAAGCAAGAAAGAAAGGCTACTACATTCATATTTTAGAACAACTGCACAACATTATTTGCTCAACTATTTCCTGACATTATAATACGGGTAAGTCACAAATGTCCTTCCTTCTAAAAGGACTGTATTTACATGTGTTGCCTTGTAAACAATAGCTTATTACCCCACTCTGGGATACATTAAGTATTAACTAATGGCATACATTGTGACTATGTGAACTGAGGTATGAAAAGGGCAAAGAAAACATCAGTAGGGGGTGTAAGCAGGTGTCAATACCATCTGTTTTTAACTTTTCCCAGGTTTTTTAGCATCAGAATGAACTTATTACCACTCAGCCACTAACTAAATCAGTGTCAATGGAGGGGACACCTTAAGATTTAAGATTTACTTTATTAATCCCCTATTGGAGAAATTATTTGAAACAGTTTGCTTTTGCACTGTACCTGGTGTCTGAACTATTTTTATTAATTTGTCTAAATCAGAGTAAGGTCGACTTTTGTGGCTAAAAATGACAAAAAAAGACGTCATACAAAGAGAAGAAAAACACATAAATTGACTCACACACACAAAAGCAAGCAGAGTGTGGTTACCTCATGGTGGGCATGCTCATAGACTGTCTGATAGAGTAGCTATCCCCGGAGAGCGTGGTAAGAGAGGAGTTAATGATTAGTACAGTTTATACACACACACACACACACACACACACACACAGCCAGAGCTGCACTGACCCACAGAGTTAGCCAGAGAAATCATTGTTTTCTTTTGATATTGTGCTCATGCAGAGTCAGTCCCACAGCCACTATTAGAGGATGGAATTGAGAGAAGTGTGTAGGGTATTATTCTGTGGTGTGATATCATAAAATACTGCAGCTCACACTTAATTCAGTTCATCTACCTTCAACCATCTGTTCAATAAAATCAAAAATTGCTGAAAAGTGAAATCAATCTCAGCCTGTATTAGCTTAACTGTAACACTTTCCTGCAGCTATTCATGATGCCTTGTTCACATTATTCATTGAGACAATTTATTGTCAGAGACCAATATCAACTAGATCTGATTCTGAGCTGAGACAAGAACCACCTGACTGACTGACTGCATCCATACTGTACCAAGCGGTTAGCGCCATCAGCTGATCTGACAGATCTATTGAGTTAAGACTCGCTGCCTAAGACTCCTTAGTCAGGAACAACTAATGTGACATAATCAGCTGTGTGATTCTTACCCTATAGAGTTGGACCTTGGGGAGCATGGAGGAAGAGGGAAAACATTTTAAGATACTTTGACAGATCTCAACATTTATGTTGTTAATACAAACAATTTCTATATGAAAGGTAAACTGCCACTGGGCAATATGCTATATATTAATATTAATATGCCATTAATAGTATAACAACCTCATATCTCTAAACTCAAAGCAAGTGTACAAAACTACTGTGGGAACCAGACTGTCCTGAACTACACGTTATCTAAATGTTCTACTGAAGTTAAACATTACAAACACACAATCGTATCTACACTAACACCTAAATGATGATTACCAAATGTTTTGTACACAAAATATCTATGTGATCTCACACACACACCCACCCACACACATTAGAGTTAAGAGTTAGTTGTTGAAAGAGAAATATGACAGAATTAACAGTGGTGACACAGAAACACTGCCCAAAGTGTGCACAAATACAAATATTTGATATATTTATGATTGATTTGATGTGAGAAAGGATGAAATCAGCTTTTCTGTTACTTTGTCCATTATATCAGAAA